CACCCGAGTTCAGTGCTGAGGGCACCGCTGTCACCCTCGGGGACTGCAGCTTCCTCCTCAGCCACTTCGGTGGGTGGGGGTCTGGGTGGGGGCACAGGGTGGGGACGGATCCTGTCCTGTGGGTGCGATGGTTTGGCCTCTCAGAGAGCGACCCCCCCAAGCATCGGCACCCCGGGGCGCCCCGCGAGCGCCTGGCCCTGCACGTGCTCCACGCTTGTCACCTTGTCCCCGAGCACCTCGAGACCCGCACCCTCTACAACGGCACCCAGCCCGGGCTGGAGCAGGTGGGGACAAGGACAGGGAGAGGGTGATGGGGACCCTGGGATGGCAGGGACATGGCCTGGGAGGGACCCCAGGGTGATGGGGACCTTTGAGTATAGGGGATGCCAGGGGGATGAGGACCTTGGGGTGACAGGGACCCCAGGGTGACAGGGACTCCAAGGGTGGGTGATGGGGACCCCAGGGTGACAGGGACCCCAAGGGTGGGTGATGGGGACCCCAGGGTGACAGGGAGTGATGCTGCAGGGGGCGATGATGGAGACTCAACAGGGACCCCGGGGCGATGGGGACGGAGGGGTGATGAGGACACGGCCAAGAAGGGACCCAAGGGTGATGGGGACCCTGGGGCACAAAGGGACGCAAGGGCTTGCCTTGGTGGGTGACAGGGAAGGATGCTGGCAGGGGGGTGATGGGGACACGCTGGGCTGGGGGGGGGACACCAGCGTGGGGACTGAGGGGTGCTGGTCCCAGCCTCCCCTCGTGTGCTGGGCAGGGCAAGGTGCAGATGTGGGTGGACGTCTTCCCCGCCAGCCTGGGGCCCCCCGGCCCCGCTGTGGACATCACCCCCCGCAAGCCCCAGAGGTGAGCGCCCAGCCAGACCCCGGGCGGTGGGACAGGGAGGTGGCAGGGGAGAAGGTGACACGTCCTTGTCCCCCCACCCCCCTTCCCCGAGGTACGAGCTGCGCTGTGTGGTCTGGAACACGCGGGACGTGGACCTGGGGGACACCAACCTGGTGGGGCAGCGGATGAGCGATATCTACATCACCGGGTGAGCCCCAGCCACCGCCTCGTCCCCCCGGGGGAGGCGACAGCAGGGCTGGGGACGAGGGTGACGGCAGGGTCCCAGCA